AAAAAAACTTTATTTAATAACAATTTTCACTTGAAATTTGACGTTGTTTTTTTTTTTTTTGTTTTTTTTTTTTTTTTTTTAACCTGATAAGGCTAAAATAATATATGCGAATTCACACAAACTTGAACTTTTTGAATCAAAGTTCTTTTTTTATTATTATTATTATTATTATTATTATTAGTATCACTTCGGTTTATATTAATTTTATAAAAAATTTAATAATACATAATAAACAAATAAAATAATTTACAAATAAAAAAAATAACACACACCGAGACAGTGATAATATTGTTTACTTGATGAAATCAAATCAACTTTTTAAATATGACTAAAATGCATAGAGACTTAAAGCACTTGTCCGCGCATTTGAACTCTGTACCGTAAGCCCGCCATCTTTATAACGATGATGACTATGTACTTTACTAAGTTTTTTTTTTTTAATAAGTTTTAACTCGTTCGTACAAAAAATAATATAAATCTATTACTGTATTATTTTTCATTATAAATTCGTTTTATAAATCTGAAGCCTTAGAAAATTAAGCAAAAAAAAAAAAAATATATTCATAGATAATTTAATTAAGAAATTAAAATGTTAAGCTCCATTTTTATTCAAAATATTTTTTTTTTGTATTTTATTCAAGTTATTCATTATAAAATAATTGTGAAAATATTTCAATAATGTCTCTTGGACACACATTAACGTTTTAAAAATATTAGGAAGTCGTTAACGAATTACATCTGGTTATTTAAAATAATTTAAAAACATTATCTCATGTATAATTTGTTTTCCCTCAAAGGTAGATATTAAATAATGAATTGGCGGATTTTTAAATTTTTAATAGAAAAATAATTTTATTCAAATAAATTGACTGTAAAATTTCAATTTTTTTTTTTTTTTATATTTCAATTATTTAGTATGTAAAATATTCATTTTAACTGTCTAAAAATAATATGGCGTTCGCTTGTTAGTAGAATTAGATTTCTTTTTTTTTTGTTAAAAGAAAGAAATTTATTCAAATCTAACGACAACAAAAGAATTAAAATACTAATTTATTACCATTAAAGGTCAGAATAAATTTGCATTTCAGATATAAAAGTTATTAATAAACAAAGTCTGAAAATAACGAACTTAATTGAATTGTAATTTATTGGGGGAAAAGGATTTGTAGTTATTTACTCTATGGAAATTTTTGTTTTCGTACCCTTACCTGTCGAGTGTTCGACAATTTTTGCATTCATCCTGTATTTTCCATTAAAAATGACGTCATCAGATTCATTTTCAACCGCCATTTCTTCTGCTATCGGAATCACAACATCTGACATGGTAAATAATTTTTTATCAAATTCTTTTACAAAAAGTTTTTGTAAATCCTTATCGTGTATTTCATTCCCCCATATAAAATCATTTTTTTCAGTTTCTAAAAAAAAATTAAACATTTAAAAAAATACTTTTTATTACTTAATTTAATTTATTAAATGAAAATAACGAATTAGGTTTCACTAATCATGAAGCAATGAAAGAAAAAAAATTTTTTTTTGTTAAATTTTACTAAAAGAAATAATTTCAACTCATATAATTAAAAAATATTAATAATAATAATGTTATAAATTGTATAATTAATAGTAAAAAAATTTTTTTTTTTTGGGGGGGGGGGTAAAATTAATAAGAGAAATTA